GGAGCAGGAGGAGGAGGACTGGGGGGTCCTTGGTGCTCTCTGAACTTGGTGGTTTTCCTGCAGACGTTTCATGACCAAACTAGGTAACAACATCAGTGCTAGAAGGAAGTAGGTTTTGCGGAGAGGAGGAGGAGGAAGAGGAGGAGAGGGAGGAGGAGGAGGAGAGGGAAGAGGAGGAGGAGGACTGGGGGGGTCCTTGGTGCTCTCTGAACTTGGTGGTTTTCTTGCAGACGTTTCAATACCCAACTAGGTAACATCCTCAATGCTAGAAGGGAGGGGGGTTTGCAGGAGGGGAGAAGGGGGAGATGGCAGAGCAGAAGATGGAGCAGGAGAAGGAGAAAGAGGAGGAGGAGGAGATGGAGATATACCAGGAGGAGGAGGAGGAGAAAGTGGAGAGAAGGAGAGAGAGAAGGAGAAGGGAGAAACCAGAAGGAGAAGACAAAGGAGGGAGAGGGAGAAGAAGAAAAGCAGAAGGAGAAAGAGAGAAAGGAGAGAGAAAGAGGGAGAGAAGGAAAAGGAGGGGAACAAGAAGGAGAAGATGGAAGAGAAGGAGAAAGAAAGGAGGGAGAGGGAGAGGAAGAGGAGGGAAACAAGAAGGAGAAGACAGACAAGGAGGGGAAGGAGAAGATGGAGAAGGAAGGAGAGAAAGAGGAGGAGAAGATGGAGACCACCCCAGGCCTCCCTCCTCAGATCTTCGCCCCCCCCCCCCAGCCTCTCCTTCCCATCTTAGCCAAATCCCGGCCTCGGCGGGACACGGAGGAAACCAGATGCTTCCTGCAGGAAACGGCCTACGCTTCCCAGCCAGTTCCAGGAGCTGGGAGAAAGAAAGCTGGAAACAACAGTGGGAACGCGGCGGGTGGCAGCGTCCCCACGCAGGAGCAACCCCCCCCCCTGCGCTCCTTCCCGTGCCCGCCAGGGATTCCCGCACGCCTGGTCAGAGAGCCAGTGGGAATGTCGCAGCGCCTGGTTCCCATCCCCTTCGGCCAGGCCCACTTGGGTCCTTGCAGAGGAAGGCGATGGCTGGGTGACGGGAAAGGGTTGGGCATCGCCACCTTGGATGCCAAGTCAGAACCCTGAGGACTGGCAACCTGCCTTTATTAGTTCAGGAAATGGCTTTCTGGGTGGGCTGAAAGCAACTTCCTGGACTAAGGGGCCGGTCCTCAGGGTTCCCTCTAGGGGACCCGTTTCAATTATGCGTTTTTATATTCTGATCGATTGGTTCTTTTTCGGCGGCTCTCTTCCATGCGAAACCCTTTTAAGAGAAACTAAAGTCAAGGTTCTAGTCCTCATGGTTGTGTGCTCCAACAG